GACCCGTGCTCATGTGCAGGAGTTTGGGTCTGTGGATGGTGAGTGGTGAGGGCCTGGGGAGGGAACTGCAGAGAGGAAAAAAAATGCAGACCAGAGGTGGGGGGTTAGGCCACAGTGGTTCCCAGGGCGAGCCAGACCCCTTTAGTCCAGTCCTGTGGACCTCTGGGTCCTGGCTCCCCCATATTGTCCAGCTCTGTTCTTTAACCTTGCCACCCCTTCCCATGTATCACCTCCAGACGACCACAAGCCCATCTGGATGCATGCAGAGGAGCGGGAGGAGATGAGCAAAGTGAGTGCAGGGGGCCAGCCTGGGGAGCACGAGGCAACCAGGGCCTCTGTCTTACTCCTGGCACTAGCCCAGCTCCTTACTTCCCACCCGAGCACCAGCCCCAGATGCATGGTGCCTTCCCCAGCCCTGCCTGCACCCCAGCCCTGCACCAGCCTGCACCCCAGCATCTCTGTTCTTTCATCTCTGGCTTCCCCTCCCTCTCTGTCCTCCTGCAGAGCCGGCATCGTGAGGGTGGCACACCCTACGCTGAGTATGGAGGCTGGTACAAGGCCTGCAAAGTGAGCAGGTGAGCAGCCAGTGAGAAGCTGGTTTGGCCTCCGATGTTCTCCATCCAATCCCTGATCCTGGCCTCCTGGACCTTATCCCTCCTTCCCTTTGACTTTCCCTCCACCTTAGCTCTGCTCCAGCTCTCTCCTATTTCTTTTCTGAACCCATCCTCACTTCCTTCCCTGGTCTCACCCCCCATAGCCCCACAGTGAACACTACTCTGAGAAACCTAGGAGCTCTGTACAGGCGCCAGGGAAAGCTGGAGGCAGCTGAGACCCTGGAGGAATGTGCCCTGCGTTCCCGGAAACAGGTCAGAGACTAGGAGGGGAAGGAGGGCCCGGAGGGTAGGGCCCTGGGGATGGGGGACCACTGAGGCTTCTTGTGAGTCTTTGAAGAACAAGAGGAGAGGCTGAAGAGGAAGACAGAGAAAGGAAGGTGAGACACTCTTGTGGTTATGGTTGTTTTTAAGTGTGTTCTTACCCTCCATCTGCTCTTTGAGGTCAAGACTCCAAGTTTCACTTCACTAAATGGACTATTAGAAGGGAAGCCCTGCTCTTTCACAGAATCTACTGAGGAGGGGCATGGGGGGTGTAGGTGAGGGGGTTGAGGGTGAGAGGAGCCCTAAGTCAGAGTTTCTCAAATTGCTGGTCTTGACTCAGTGGGTCATGAAATCAATTCAGTGTGGGCCATGGCTAAAAACATACATGTATCTATATGTAGGAATGCATTGCAAATAGAAAGGGTGAGTATCATTCCAGGATGTATGTACTGGGACATCACAAGGAAAAATGTTTTCCTTGCTGTGGCCGATGGTGAAAAAAACTTCGAAAGCCCCATCCTGAGGAGTTCGGGAGTGGGAAGTCCCAGCTCCTTCCTTTTCCTTCCAGGGCACTGACCCTATCAGCCAGACCAAGGTGGCTGAGCTGCTTGGGGAGGGTGACAGTGGAAGAACCTCCCAGGAGGGCTCTGGGGGCAGTGTGAAATTCGAGGGAGGTGAAGATGCCTCTGTGGCTGTGGAGTGGTCAGGGGTAAGTCTGGTTATTGCCCCTTGGTCTGTCCTGCCCCGTCCTGCTGGTGGTGGTGAGAGGCTCTGAGCCTGTCCAGGCAGGACATGAGGGCATGTTGTCCCCATTCCAGTGACCCTAAACCTCTCAGGGGCATCTCTGCAAGCCAGCTATCGTCAGGGCTCTTGTTTTCACTCGCAGGGCTTTTTGGGGGAGGGGAGATGTGTGCAGAATAAATGGCAGGAGTAGACTCAGAAGCCAGTCTGTGTGGGATCCCCTTAGCTTTTGTTCCCTATCCCTCTCTGCCAGGATGGCAGTGGGACTCTGCAGAGGAGTGGCTCTCTGGGCAAGATTCGGGATGTCCTTCGTAGAAGCAGCGAACTCCTGGTGAGGAAGCTCCAAGGGACTGAGCCTCGGCCCTCCAGGTACACAGTGAGACTGAGATATGGCACAGCAGGCAAGTAAGCCCTTGCCTCCAGCTCCTCTTGGCTCCTCTTCTCTGGAGGAGAAGTTTGTTGGAGAGAAACATGGAGGAAGTCAATGGCATGGCCACAGAGAGAGAGTTTGGGAAAAATGGGTGCCCCAGGGGGAAAACAAATACCTGAGGAGATGCTGGTTACTGATGAAGATAAGAGTGTGTGTGTGTTTATGTGTTGGGGCCGTCGGATGGTAGGGAGTCAGTGATTTGATTCTCTGTGGCAGTGTGCAAGGGGCCCAGAGCTTTAGAGCCACTCATGGGGAAGAGAAGAGGCCTCAGTTCTTTCTTTTTCCATTGCAGCAGCAACATGAAGCGGGCAGCCTCCTTAAACTATCTGAACCAACCCAATTCAGCACCCCTCCAGGTAAGAGTAGTGCTGTGAGCATGTGGGTGGGTGAGAAAGGACAGCCACAGAGCCAGCCCAGCAGGAGTTAGGGAAGAGGGGAGAGTCATCTGGGATGAAGACTCTAGCCAGGGAATTGGAGTTGGGCAGACAGCAATTGGACAGCCAACTCGTTGGGGGTGGTGACCACCAGGGAACAGTTTCGGGCCAGAGATAGTGGCAAATAAATTAACCAAGAGGGGAACAGGAATTGATGTTCTCTAAACTGGTACTTTGGAATTATGACTAATTCAAGAAGGATTTGGGGAGCGGCCGACCCAGCGGTGTAGTGGTTAAGTTTGTGTGCTCTGCTTTGGCAGCCTGGAGTTCATGGGTTCAGATCCTGGGCATGGACCTACACACCGCTCATCAAGCCAGGCTGTGGCAGCATCCCATATACAAAATAGAGAAAGCTTGGCACAGATGTTAGCTCAGGGCCAATCTTCCTCACACACACACACAGAATAATTTGGGGATACTAATTGCTCTTCTTCCTGCAGCCATCATACTCCTCACCCTGGGCACTCATAGTAGATGAGAAGGGCAAAAGAAAAAAAGTATTAAATCATCTCTATTTGAGAAAACAGTAATGATATTTTAAGAGGAAATAACCAACTGTATCAACACATTCAAAGTATATGCCAGTATTCATGTGGCTCTTCCAGGTATTTCTCCACCAGAGCATTGTCTTCTAGAAAACCCTAGCAAAGGCTAAACAAAGCCCTAGAGCTTGGGGTTGAGGTTACAGGTTCCATCCTAGGTCCAGAGGTAGATTGCAGCCATGAGATGGACAGACTCCAGCGGACAGTCTTTGGGAGGCTGAGGTGCCTGGGCTGATGGCATGGTATTGTCTGTTTCAGGTCTCCCGGGGTCTCAGTGCCAGCACTATGGACCTCTCTTCAAGCAGCTGACAATCAACCCACCCCCCCAGGTCTGCTGGGTCCCCCCACAGCCCTTACAGCATTCCCTATTGCTCCTGGCTCTTCCAACCCCAAGGTGGGACAGTGAAGGGGGAGCAGTTAACCAGAAGATTTGCTGCTGCCCTTAGGGTCTTGGCTCCCTCCTCAGGAATCCCCCCCAGGAAGGACCCTCAGGATGTCCTTTCCCCACCCTGTGGTCCTCTAGAGTAGCTAGCTCTAAGGCTCCCAAGGTGGGTAAGGAGCAGGTACGCACCTCAGAGATGCAGCCTGCTGCTGGCTTTTCTGTCAGAGGGTTTGGGGCTGGCCAGCCAAGCTGCCTTGCTCTGGCCTCTCTTGTTCCCTCGGCTGCCTCACTTCAGGTCCATGTATTTCACTTTTCTTAAATAAAAGAATCAGGTAACCAGTCTGCCACTTGAGTCCTGATTGAAGAGGGTAGGAAGCACGGGTTGTGTTGGGGCCCTTCACAGAAGGGTGAGGGGCATTGATGGATAGGGCATAGGAGGAGTGTTGATTCTTGGATCTCTCCTCTCTTCCTTCCCCTGTTGTATCCTCTCCAGCAGGGCCATCAGGAAGGCATCTGGGGGATGGGGGAGGAGGCCCACAACCCAAGGAGAAGGTGCTGTGGACTGGGTTGTCAGGGACATGTGGTGGCCATGTGGCAGGACCCTGGAGTCCTGGCGCCACTGCTCCTGGCCTGTGAGGCCCTCTGTGGCTGCCCCTCCTCCTCCCAGCTGCTTGGGGGAAGGGAGGTCTAAGCAGGCCTGGGGGGGCCCTCCGGAGCTAGAGGGGGACCAGGCATTCACTATCCATCCCTTCTCAGCATATCCTGGAGGCCTGAGCAGCAGCTGGGGCCCATCTTCTAAAGCTTGACTCCTCCTGACCCGCCTCCTACACCCCTTGCTGCTTTCACAACAAAGAAAGAATGTGGGGGTGGTGGCGCTGGGGGTGGGGGTGGGGGGGTGCCTGGAACAAGGGCTGTGCTGGGCCTCCCCACAGCTGGAGACTTGGCCATGCCCTGACACAGCCCAGACTGCCTGGAGATGGACTTGGGATGAATTTGTCAGTTTAACAGCCTTCAGCCGGCCGTTCAGAGCCCAGTCTTTTTCTACCTTTGGGTTCAGATTGGTCCAGAGCCGAAGCAGACCACAGCCACGCGCTGGTCCCTCACTTCTCGAGGCTCCATCTCTCCTAGGGCTCCACAGTATCTCCAGGTTACCTTGCTTGGGGACACCAAGGACACCTTTCTGTTCTAGGTCTCCCTCAGGATTTCAAGTTGCTGAGAAGTGATTCAGATCCCACGTTTTCCTCCCTTACCCCGAGAATTTGGGGGAACTGTTGGTGAGAGCCCTCAGGAAGGCCCAGAACCGACTGTCCTCCCTAGGGACCAAGGAATCATAAAAGTCACTTTGGTTCCCCTGAGTCCCTGCAGTCTAGGCGGCAGGCACAGTCTGCGCTCCCCAGCCTCGCTCAGGTCCCCATACATCCCGGGGCTTCGCTCCCTCGGTCCCTCATCCATCTCCAGACCCCACCCCCAACCACGAGCTCCTCCCCGCCACGGCGGGGAGGGGGCGTCGGAGGGGCGGGGCTTGGCGGCGGCCGGCGGGGAGGGGGCGTCGCGGGGCGGGGCTTGGCGGCGGCGGCGGCGGCGGCGGCGGCGCGCGAGCACTAGGAGGTGCGGGCGCGCGCGGCTCCGGCTCGGGACGCCTCGGGCTCGGGCTCCGGCGGCGGCGGCTGCAGCGGACCCCGCGCTCCAGTGCGCTCGGCCTCCTGGGCCCGCCGCGGAGCGCAGTCGGCGCGCCAGCCCGCTCCTTCCCCCGAGCCCGCAGCGATGGGAGCTGCGCGGGGAGCCCCAAGCCGCCCCCGCCGGCTGCCTCTGCTCAGCGTCCTGCTGCTGCCGCTGCTGGGTGGTGAGTCCCAGCGCGCTGGGGTAACCGGGCTCGGGAAGCGCGGGAGCCCCGCGGGCAGGAGGGGCGCCGGGGAGGTGGTGGGGGTGGCTGGAGCGAGGAAGACACCCTGGAGTGCTGGAGAGGCTCGCTGGGGGTGCGCGGTCCCGGCGCCTGGGCGGTGGCGAAGCCCCCGCGGACTCGGTTGGGGCCCCTCTCCCACCCGCGCCCACGAGGACGCGTTTCCAGCGTCCAGAGTTTTCCCGGCCTGCGCGGAGAGTTTGCTCGGGAACTGCCGGGAGTTGCGGGCTCCCGGGCCCTGGTAGGGAGTTTCTTTTCGGGAGAGGAACGACTGCCCCCCACTTAGGAGGCTGCAGTGAGGTGGCTGGAGGCGGGGGGCACGGTGTCCCCCGTCAGGCTCAGCCTAGGTGAGGGAGGCCGGCCTGGGGCCGGATTCGGGACCGACCTGCGGCGCGCAGGGCGCGGAGCTTTGTTACCTACGCCGGCCGACGCTCCCGGCTTCCCTCCTTCAAGTTCCTGGGCCAAGCGGGCACCCCTGATGGCCCTGCTGGGGAGGGCGGAGGAAGGGAAGAATTAGGGGTCACCTCATCTCCTCCTGCTCCTGGGCCCGAGCCCTGAGCCCACTCCCAGCCAGGGTCGAATCCAGGGAGCGGAGAGTCCCAGGCTGTCGCGGTGACTAACGTGTGAAGGCCGCTGCCAAAATCGGGCATGGCCGGCCTGCAAAGGTGCGGACCGGGTTTGTTCTGCCCCTTCCTGGATTTCCATCCTATCTCTCCTCGCCGGCGAAAGGAAATCTCTCATTCTACGGGTAGAAAGAGAAAAAGAGTTCATTCTGTCTTTTCTTGGAGGGTCTCAGCATTTTGATGAGGGTGTGGCCCGCATCCCCAGGGCGGACAGGACCTGAGCCCCACTCCCCCCCTCCCCCCACCTCGCCACATTATTTCTAGGCTTGGTCACACCTGAGAGTTACTACTGAGGTGTTGAAGTGCTTTACAGGAAAGCAGCAAGCTACCCGCACACCCCACACAGCCTGGACTGGAAATGTGCTCCCTGTCCCCCAAAACACAAAATCTTTGGTGATGATCCTGGCCGCACACCTCTCTGGGGGACCTTTGCCCAGGGGACCTGGTTCTAGCTTATCACTTTCCCACTTCTTTGAAGAGTGGCCGTGGCGGTGGTGGTGGTGGTGGTGGGGGCTGGGTAGGGAATTGCCCTTTCTGACATTGCCCTGGCCTGCCAGCTGTTTGAGGGGTTTTGGTGCTGATGGAATCAACGTCTCCCCCACCCCTAGTTGTAAATGGAGAGGTAATTGTAACCCAGGACGCAGAGGTAAGAACAAGGTCCGGGAATGTGTAGGAGGTGTTTCTGGAGCTGCCCTGTGTTCCTTGTGATGTGCGGGGTGGTTATTGCTCATGGCAGAACCCACATCTGCTCCCAGAGGAAGTATGGAAGTTTTTTGTGCAGCCGGGATCGGGGGCCCAGCCATATGGGTGAGCAGCCTCAGCTCACAGGCTTCCTAGGTTGGCCGGCTGTTTGGGTTTTGGTGTGCCAGTCGCCCGATATGGCTGCCTTCCTTGCTGATGTTTGGAGTTCTGGAGTCTAGGGAAGATTCTGGTGGAGACAGGGCTCTTGTTCAACAAATGCTAAATTCCTAAATTCCTTCCGTGAGAAGACGACTCTGATGTTAATCGATGTTAATCCGGTGACGGGTGTTTAGTGGAGGGGGAGTCGTGTGGGGGGAAGTTAGGGCAGGCTAAGGGCTTGGGACTGGAGGTCTGGAATCTCCTCTGGGGGTGGGGAGATGTCTTGTGCTCAACAAAGGAACATTTTAATGAGAACCTTAAATCAGTTCCACCAAATGTGCCTTGGTGTGGAACCTGTCCATGCGCTGTAAACACTTCCAGTGGAGGCCCCTGCTGTCTTCCGGGGAAGTCGGGGGACTGAGCCCACCCCCGACGGCGTGACTTCAGAGGGCAATGATTTTTTAATAGATTAGAGTAGATTTTTTTTCATGTCATTGTTTAACTGTGTAATTAACTGGAATTGTAGTGAGACTCCACCGTTAGTAAAGCTGGAATAAGGGACCTACACTGGCTAGGTTTGTGGATTAGACCATTTTGAAGTTTGGGTAATTATGCTGTAAATGGCTGAGTAACTTTCCAAACTTTGAGATCCCCGTTGTGATAAACACGGTGGTGTAGGAGAGGGCTCGATGTTTGAAACCTGGGATTCTTAGCCCAAACCTCTTGAACGGTTGGTTGTGGTCACTATCCATCCCCGATTCTGGGTTCTTTCCTCCAGGCTCTTGTTTCTTTGGGGAAATTGAGTTGTCACATTCTGAGATAGGCTGTCCTGCAGCTTCCTCAAGGCTCTGCAGCCTGTAATTCAGGCCTAGGAGTTGCTGTTATCAGTGATGGGCTTTCTCAGATGTTGGGAAGTATGTTGGGAGGGCAGGATAATCTCTGCACATCACTTGCCAAAGGATCAAGTCAAACTCCCGGTGTTCGGAGCAGGGTTGAGTGGTGGAGAGAGCTCAGGCTGTGGGGATGAAGTATTTGGCACAACAGCAGCTCAGACTCTTTGATAGGCCCCGTGGCCCTGGGCAAATTTCTTGACCTCACAGTTTGCCTCCTCTATAAAGGGACTGACTTCCTGGAGTTGTGCTGAGGCTTAAACGTAATGAAGTATATGAAGGGCCTCTTTCTTGTTCCTCCCTCTCCTGTGGTGTGCTTCCAGCTTTCCAGTCATCCCCAACAATAAACATTTTCCACCTCCTGGAACCCTCCGTTCCAGCCCAGCTAGTCTCTTTCCCGTATCCTAAGACAAACATGGTTTCTGAGACCTTTCTTTCCTCTCTGGCCAGTCCCTTGGCTTGTATTGCCTCCCTCATCTCTCTTTTGCCCAGCCCCACTCCACTTCCTCCCTGAAGCTGTCCTCTCTCTTTTGCTAGAAAGTGGATGCCTGTAGAACTTCTGGACTCTTAAGACACCTTCCATATTTTTGCCCGAAGTTGGGTTTTGACTTAGCGAAGGGCTCCCTCTGTAGAATTCATTACAGTATCTTATTTATAACAAGTTCCTATCTAGGTCTATTAAAAAGGTGAATGAAGCTTTTGGGTACAGGGCCGAGTAACCAAGGGCAAAGGAAAACAGCCCCTTTGCCTCTTAGGCATTAGGGGTCTTTTGTGTCCTTTTCAGCTTCTCTGGGTTCAGGTTCCCAGTTGTTCCTCCTTGTGCCCGCTCTCCCGTGACCCGATCAAGGGACCAGACGTTCCTTCCCTGTTTCTGGGCTGTCTCTCCTTGTGTTTTTGGAGTCTTGATGCGGCATGGCATCTGCCTTTCTCCAAGAGTTCTGGGCATCTGCAGCCACCTCTACCCGTGAAGCTGACCTGCCTCAAAAGGCCACAGCTTAAAAACCGTGAACTGTGCAGGGGCCTAGATTACCTACAACTTTGCTGCTCAAAATAAGGTCCAAAGACAAGTGGCATCAGCGTTCCCTGGGGGCATGGGTGAGAATCTGCATTTTAACAAGCTCCCCAGGTGACTGCACCCAAAGTTCCAGAAGTCCTGCTCTGGGCATCCCTCCTTCTACAGAAACTCAAGGTGCAGAGCTTGCCCGTTGGAGCAGTACAAATTAGGGGCCCTAGATGGTGCGCAGAATTTGAAGACTTACCGTGAATAACTTTTAGTTCATGTGCACACTCTTCAGTGTGATGTGTGCACTTAAAAATTACCCCACTTTGGGGTGAATTTGAATTAGATTTTGTCAGGAAACTTATCCCTTAAATGTGTGACTGGAGAAGGTTCGCAACATTAAGTGTGATGTTCATTTCCTCTTGAAGCCTCAGCTTTTGCTCGAGAAGCACGTGTCTCCTTTTGTAATGAAAGCTAATGGAGAAATTGGATTTGTTAGGCAGAGGTTTGGTCAACAGACGACTTTTCAGGAGTCCGTGTGGTTCACAGAGGGAGGAGATGTCTCCGTGGGGCTTCAGTGGTCGTAGCTTTGTTAAGTCTTTGGAGCATTTCAGATTTTGGAGTGAGGGGGTTTGTGTGAGTTTGTGTTTAAGCCAGTGCAGCTTCTGTGAGACTCATCTGGGATGGAGGTTGGCCAGTTCGGACTCTAACATTTGAGCCAAGAGCAGATTGGGCCCAGGGAGTCCGTCTTTGGTGCTTTTGTGATGGAAGAAAGGGTCATTAAGCAGGGTTGGGTATCTTTGGCCTCCCTTGGCCTCTCTCTGCTCTCCCCAACCTCAGTGGTGTGCCTCTCTGCTGCTGTGCCCCTGGCACTACCCCCTGGCAGAGCCACATGGTGGGGTTACAGGCTCAGCCACAGCTGCTGGCACTGATTCTTGCCCTCAGGCTACTGGCCTCCTTCTCTCCTCGCATCCTGCTCTGGCCCCCCATCCGCCTGGTCCCTTTCCCCAAGAGTATGAAGTTCTGCCTGGGTGGCGAGGTGCTGGGTTAGCGTCCTGTCTTGGGGTTCTCTGAGTTCACTGTGGAGTGCCCGTTGGCCCTGCCGAGACCCCTGATGCTTTGGTATTAGGGGCTGCCGCAGCTAATCTGCGGTTTGAGGAAGCCCTCTGTACTGTGTCACTTTTTCCATCCTCTTTTCTTCTCGGAGTTTAGGCCATTTCCCTCTCAGTAATGCTACCCAAGCAGCAGTGGGACAGGGAGGGAGCTGTGTTGGCAGGGCTGACATACGCAGGCGCCTTTTCCCTCTTGCAGCTTGGTTTGGGTCACCAAGCTCTCGAGTGTGCACATTCACACTGAGTGAATGAGTGCACAGGTGAGTGGGACACAGTCAACCAGGCGTCCTAGATCCCGAGTTCCTGCTAGAAGCTTAGATGTTGATGAGCAGGCTGTGCACTTGCTGGTTGATGTGTGGATGTAACTTTGGAAAATTGGGGTCGTGGGGTAGGGATTGTGAGTCACGCGTTAAGAAGATGTAGATTTGTGTTGCTCAAAAATGTCTGGAGATCGGAGAATATAGTGGGAGGGTGGGCA